ACAGATAGTGGCATGGAATGCCAGTGTTCATCCAATGGCCTTCTTTTTTTTTTTTTTTTCTCTTTTCCTTTTTAATCTCGTCACTATCCCTTAGCTGCCAGAAGATTGTAGTATTGGAGACTTGTGATACAATTAATTACAGATTATTGAAGTTCTAGCTGCACACTTTACAGCCCGAGTCAATTATTAAAGAGTTTTCATTTTTACAAATGGTGTGAGGGGGGTAGGGCACAGACACTAAACAGTCCTAGGTCATTTCCATCTGTAAATGTACTGAACCCTCTTGTTTCATGTAAGAGTTGTTGGCATTGTGGCTTTTCTGGTGAAACACTAGATCTCTTCCTGTTTTTTAGACATGTGAACAAGAAGCTAAAGTAGAGTTCAGTTGTGTGAATTTAAGTCAGGATGTAGGAAACCTATCAACCACCGTGGGCATCAGCCAGCTACCCAGCCTAAAAACCCAATCAAGATTCTGTCTCTACGGTTGACTTGACACAGGCCTGATGGTCCGTGGACTTTCTGAGTTGCCCCTTTGGGATCACACATGGAGCACATGCTTGAGTTTGCACCTGAAGTCACTCAGGTGTGAGGCTCAGACTTGCCCTGTCTATTCTTCTAGTGACTCTTTGAGACAAAGGTAAAGATCATGAACCTTAGCTTGAACTGACTGGTGTCATGGCAACTAGCACTTCACCTTTTGCTGGTCTCCACCTCACACATGCTACAATATTTGTGCACATTAATAATTCATTGCCAAGAGCCAGATTTCTTTGTGCTGTCAAGCTGTGTCAAGGACGGAATACACTGTGCTATCTCAGATGTCACCCAGCAGACTGTTGAGGGCAAGAAGAATTAGAAAGGAAAACTAGTTATCTTACTTAAGAAAATTCCTGAAAATGACATGTTTTCTAGTCACCATTTGTAGTGTTTTTCTTACAAAGTAAGAGCCAAAGTTTATTTAGTAGCATACCTCATACCTCAAGCGAGTTTGCTTGTGGCAAGCTGTAATTGCCCATATCCATTCAGGCAACAAGGCAATGGACAGCAGCCCCAGTGTGCAGTCACATGTACTTGACTTCAGCAGGGCCAGGAGCATGGACTTCAGGGACACTGGAGTGGCCCTGCTGTGGGTACTGATAACCTCAGGCTTGTCTCCACTTAGTAAAGGGTAAGGCCTCGTAAGAGTTTGTGCAAATGGCAGGAAACCTGCAGGCTGACTGTGTGGTCTCAGATGGTTTCACCTCTTAATGTCAGCAGCAAATTGTAATGGGCATCACCAGGAGTATAGTGATCTGTAGCTTCACCTATAATCGGATACTTTCTAAATAACAAATAGGTGCCTTCATCTTAAAATGTAAAATATACAAAGGCATATTCTGTTTCCTTATACAGACATTTGCCCCTATTAGGTGAAGAAATCATGTGCTTTAAAATGAATATTGACCACTGGTACTTTAAAAATTAAGACTAGAAAAGGGTTGCATCACAATAAAACACTCCCCCGAATATCTCATAACAAACCACTCAAACCGTTCTCTCCAATAGTGTTTGTAGCGCACACATAAAGACTAACTATATGACCGTATTTGGATCATTTTATTTCTGCACCCCTCCCTTAAACACAAAGTAGCTTTGCTTTCCAGACAGCATTGCTGGTGGGTGGGAAGGACCAAGGACACTAGAGCAATTTGAGACCCAAATCATACTGTTTTGATGCACAGGTGAGTTTAGAATTCTGCTCAAAGTCAGGAATGGAAGAATGGGACCAAATCCTATCTCACTAATTACTGCTCAGCCAGGTCATTACATAGTACCTACAAATAGATGGTGAGGGAATGAATATCTGTCAAGTGGATACGTTTATATCACCTGGAGGGAGGAGGGGACATTAATCAGTTTCAGAACTTTGCAACAAATTATAGTTGAAACCTAGTTGGGAACTTGTCACCTGCCTTTGTTCTGTGCTGGGAATCTGGGTAGCGGCTTAAGACCTGTAGACAGGACCTTAGCATATAAAGCCTGGCCCTCATCAGGATCTCACCTGATCTGTTATATGGGTTTTCAGTAGGCCAGTTGTAGAACGCAGCCACCTAAGCAAGAAGACCAAGATCTTACTGGCATATTAGACTATGTGCAGTTTCTTAGCATTTAATATCAAGTCCTTGTACTACATTAAGAACTTTTAAAACAAAAAAGTTTAAAAGGCACTAAATTTATCCCTGTCTTTCAACACTAGGCAAACTTAATATAGACAATCCCTCCAACTCAGAATGGTTTGACTTAGGCTCCTTTGACTTTGTGATGATTTGAAATGGTAATATGTTCATAAGGAAGTGTGACTTGAATTTTGATCTTTCCCTGGGCTAGCGTTAAATGCTGCAGTCAGTCTGCACTTGTGCCCAGATGTAGGCTTACACAAGTGCTATGAGCACATTTGAGGTGGGCCAGGATAAGCCTGAGTGTTCAGTAAATTTGGTATAGTAAACGCCCTTTCTGCTTACGGTGAGTTTATAGATCAGCTTATAAGTCCCTAGAAATGACCTCAGATGAACCTTTAGAACAGATTTTCCTGGAGCTGAGGCGATGGCTCAGTTCATAAGATGCTGCTGGACAAGCATAAGAACTTGACTTGGATCGCCAGCACCCACATGAAGGCCAGGTATGGTGGTGTGAGTCTAAGTCTGCTGCTGCTTGCAAGGGACACAGATGCATCCCTGGCATTCACCACTCAGCCTGTCTTGCCAATCAGTGAGCTCCAGGTTCAATGAGCGACGCTTTCTCAAAATCTAAGGTGGAAAAGCAATAGAGGAAGATACCTGATGTTGACCACTGTTCTCTGCATGCACCAATGTGCACCTTAACACCACACACATACATACAGAAAACAGTCACATAGTTTTAAATGAGCAAAGCTAAAATACCAGCTTTAGGCTTTTTAGCTCATCTGCAAACATTAATCGTAACTAGACGTTTCAAAGATGTAGATACCCCCCTTTTTTTAATTTTCTTTTAGACAGGGTTTCAGGGTTTCTTTGTTAGCCCTGGCTGTCCTGTAGACCAGGCTAGCCTCAAACTCACAGAGATCCACCTGCCTCTGCCTCCCAAGTGCTGGGATTAAAGGCATGCACTGCCTCTGCCCAGCTCAAAGATGTAAATACTCTTAAGACTTCATACTTAAGCATATATTTTCACTTTAGTTGGGAGTGTATATGTTCCTCTGCAAATTACTCTATTTCAGCTTTGTGATATAACAACCACCTGTAAGTTATGGCACTTGAAGTCAAGCCTTTAAATGACCCGGAATGCCAGCTCTTTTGTGGTATCAGGATCCTGTTTACAGAGAAACAGAGTGGAACGAAAGCATTGGTGTTACTGACAGCAACAGTGTGCTGGTCCCGTGTGGTATGAGGGGGATTTGTAAGACTGGTTGATCAGTGTCTCTGAATGTGTCTGGGACAGCCAGATAAAAATAAAGCAAGCAGAATCAAAACTCTGTAAAATACATAGTGATATGTTAGGGTGAATGATAACAACTTTAAGAAATGTAGATAAAGTCAAGCTGGCCTAGAATAATATTAAACAGTATGACCTGGGGCTGTATTTGAGTGATGTTCATGCTATACAGTGCTCTGGTTCAACCCCTGATATCACATACACAAAGACCAAAATATCATCAAAAAAGAATTACAGGGATTTTAAGTATTACTAAAGATATTATTGGAGATTCCAATGATTTAGAGCATTAGATAATCATTTAAAAACTAAGTAAATGAGCAATTAATATTACACTTTGGTTTATATAGAACTGGAATGAGGGCAGATGAGAGTGAGCTTGGCATGGGTTCTAAAGGAGACCCAAACAAATGGGATGTGGTTTGGGGGATGGGGTGCTCTGTGACAGTCCAGGAGATACTTGACAAAGATTCATCTGGCAACTGCTCCGTGAAGTGGAGCATGGGAAGCTTCAAAATTAATGGAACCACTGTTTTTGATCTTTCACACACAAGTTATCCAAACACTAGAAATTCATGCTTAGACTCTGACACTTTAGCAAGAGAGCGTTGGAAATGGAACACAGCTCTTCTCCAAGGAGGCTGTGCAGTGTTTTGTCTTCTAAGTTTATAAATCATGGGGACCAGTGCTGGCAGTAGACCATAACTCAACAGTAGACAGATTGCTCTTCACTGCTTTCTTTTAAGAAGCAGGTTATAAAACTGTTGGGAGCCTGGTGGGATGGTTTATAGATCATCTTAAGCAATTCAAAGGATCTTTTTGTTTAAATACAGCCTTGTATCTTGGAGACAGGAGACAGTAGTTTAATAAGGAGTCCATGTCACCTCTGATATTGCCACCTTGTTGTGGGCCTGTGCTGTCATCGCAGAGTAGGTGGACTTCTGCCTTTGTGGGAGAGACCCTGAAGGTGCCCCACAGTGATCCTTCGGAATACTACAGGTTCCCTGCACAATTTGTCACTAAAATTGTTCTGTCTTTATCAGTGTTAATGTTCTAAAATACCTTACCTCCTGCTAGTCTACTTTGACTGTAAAACTTTGGGTGCTGTCACAGAGTGCTAGGATGGCTCTTCATTCATGGGTCTGTCACCATGGAAACATTTCCATGAGGAAAGTAACAATATGGGGCACCTGCTGATGGGGAGGCTGGAAGTTGCTCATAGACCAGAATCCAGCTGAACTACAAGGCATGAGCATGAGAAGGCCTCTGACCCAGGAGTGGTTCAGATTAGCAGATCACTATCACTTGAAAGGTGATAAAGAGCCTCTCCTAACGACTTTCTTTTCATCTCTGGACCTCAGCTCTCAAAGTTCTTGGGTTACAGCTTTGTTGGTCACGGCTTATAATAGGCCTAGCAGGGCAATGCCTTGGTGCTAAGTTAGCCAGGCACAGATGGAAGATATTTTCAGATGAACTGGGAAATGTAATATTTACAGCTCCAAGATGGGGCATCGTCAATTCTAACGCTTGCATCTTTCTTCTTTCAGACAACTAAGGCCTTTCTTCCGACGATGCTGGAGATTAATCATGGCCACATTGTGACGGTCGCGAGCTCCCTGGGATTGTTCAGCACGGCTGGAGTTGAGGTTTGTCAGTTCCAAAGTGTTTTCTTCATTCACACAGTTGGTCTTGCAGTGAACACATCACATGAGACCTGCTACCACACCTTCTGGTCAACAGTGTCTCCCTCTAACACAGGGCCAGCTGTGGAGGGGAGGGGTCCTCCTCGGCCGCCATAAAATTCCTGGCACCAATTTACCAAGTTGTCACAGTATAGAGGAGGACAGGCTCACAGAGCCCATTTTCATTAGCAGCCTTGCTAGATGGTAGAAGGCACAGGGTCAAGAATGGACCTGTGGAGTGACAAGGCAGTGTGGGGAGAACAGATAAGTGAGGTCAAAGGCTCACATTGTGTTTTGGTCAACCTGCCAAAAGTGAGCTGCCCGCTGCTAGTTCATTAGATGAGACGCTTATGGCCAGGGGCAGGTGCCATATAATTGTGTAGAACTGGCCTTCTCAACTCATTCTCAACTGTGTTCAAATGATAAAACATGTGCATACATTGTCCTGTAAGACTTTGGTTTCAACCTAGAAAATTGAAAATACCACTTCTTGTAAATATTTCTGTGCCATATGCTATTAAGTTCTAGCTGGAGTTAAGAAGATGTGGTGGCTCTTGCCATTTTAACATCAGATCATTACAGCGTGTAGCCCGAGTTAACTTGTCTTTGTTCTCCTGGTACTAATGTAAACAAACAGGTTTTTCAGTCTCCTCTGCTAAGCAAGAAATCATTTGTAAAGTTTCCAGGGACTTCAAAGGGAAGCTCTCATGTTTTTTCACTCAAGCCTTTTAGCTTTCATAGAACCCTTTGCAGTGGTGTCCCCAAAGTAACATGATACTTGGTTGATGTGGCAAAAAGTGTTCTTCTGTTTCTGTTGTTGCCTGGAAAATGTTGTTTGTGTTCTGAACCACATCACATATATGTCCTTTAAGAAAGTTTCCTTCTCTTTGCTTGTTACCTATAACCTTTTGTGCTAAACATCTACCCAAACAGGACCGGGACACTGCAGATCAGTTGGAAAATTGTACAAAAGACTCAGCATTTCTGTTCTCTCTCTCTTGCTCAGGATTACTGTGCCAGT